GAGGACCATTCAGTAGCCATAGAGCCAATCAGCCTTGTGGAACCAATAACGGATCGTAGGATGATTCAGAACTCATGCCTTGGGCACCATTCCTTAAGGTGGATGATAAAGGGTCACTAGATTCTTTTTTTTTTTTTTAAGTTTTTAATTTTTTTTATTTATTATTTTTTAAATTTAAAAAAAATTTTTTTTATTTATTTCTAGGAGAGAGAGAGAGAGACAGCGTGAGCAGGGGAGGGTCAGAGAGAGAGGGAGACACAGGCTCTGAAATAGGCTCCAGGCTCTGAGCTGGCAGTCAGCACAGAGCCCGACGTGGGGCTCGAACCCACGAACCGCGAGATCATGACCCAAGCAAAAGTCGGACGCTTAACTGACTAAGCCACCCAGGTGCCCCAAGTTTTTAATTTTTATTCTACTCTGAGAAAAAGAGAAACCACAAACAGGGGAGAGGCAGGAAGAGAGGAGAGATAGAGAATCCCAAGCAGGCTCCTCACTAACAACGTGGGGCTCGAACTAATGACCGTGAGATCATGACCTGAGCCAAAGGTGGACGCTTAATGGACTGAGCCTCCCAGGAGCCCCAAAGGTTCACTAGATTCTTACCCAGTGTTCAAACAAGTGTGAGAAGTATCAGAAATATTTGAGCCAACTTTGCATGTTTCCAGTTTCACCAATAACAGCCCATTTTTACACATATGTTACTTTTCTTTTTTTTAAGTAAACTTTATACCCAACATGGGGCTTGAACTCATGACCCTGAGATCAAGGGTCCTTTGCTCTACCGCCTGAGCCAGCCAGGCACCCCCACTAAATTAATCATTAATAAGCCACTCGATACACAACTGAAAACCCACTTCTAACATTCATCATGCTAACTAATGAAGTCCCTCGTGTTTCTCAAAGGTAAATAGTTGAAGCTCTTGTACTAATTGCTTATTTGACTTTTCATCACATGCTGGTTCTTCCGGAAGTGTGGATTCCAGCTTAGGCCACCTGAGGGTCCCTAGAGCGTACCTTAACGACACATGTATTTGTATTGTCCTGTGTCTTAGGCTGAGTTCCTTAGAAACAGGCCCCGGGACAAAGAGCTGCATGCAAAAGGGCTAGTGTGGACCCTTAGGCGATACCCCCAAAGGAAGTGAGGGGGGCAGGATTGAGCTGGGGTGGGGGGAAAAGCTGACGGACACCTTGGTTGAGATAACGCTATGAGGAGATCTGGAGCTGGGGTGGCCACTCCAATGGTTGTCCCCAGGTGAAGCAACGGGACTGGGACCTGTTTTATCTCTCAGGACCATCCAGTCACTGGCATGGAGATGCCCCTGGAGGGCCATGACCTTGGGCGAGGCTGTTCTTTGTGACCGAGGGCACATCCAACAGCAATGGGTGCAACAGCCTGAAGCCGCAGCCTTTCCTAGCTCTGTCCACTGTGAGGGCACGTGTGGCGGCACTTCTTCGTAAGGCTGTGATTCTTTTCTTTTTTTTAAAGTATTGCCATGAATTAATTCACATGCATACTTTTTAAATTTTTATTATTTTTTTGATATTTATTCATTTTTGAGAGGCAGAGAGAGACACGAGCGTGAGTGGGGGAGGGGCAGAGGGAGAGGGAGACAGAATCCGTTGTTTTTTTTTGTTTTATTTATTTCTAGGAGACAGAGAGAGACAGTGTGAGCAGGGGAGGGTCAGAGAGAGAGGGAGTCACAGACTGAAACAGGCTCCAGGCTCTGAGCTGGCAGTCAGCACAGAGCCCGATGCGGGGCTCGAACCCACGAACGTGAGATCATGACCTAAGCGAAAGTCGAACGCTTAACCAACTAAGCTACCCAGGCGCCCCAGAGGGAGACAGAATCTGAAGCAGGTTCCAGGCTCTGAGCTGTCAGCACAGAGCCCGACGTGGGGCTCAAACTCATGGACTGTGAGATCATGACCTGAGTTGAAGTCGGATGCCCAACCAATTGAGCCACCCAGGCACCCCTAGTTTGTGATTTTACAATTAGGACAAATATCTAAAAATGATTCCATTGGGGCACCTGGGTGGCTCAGTCGGGTAAGCATCCAACTTGTGAGTTTGAGCCCTGTTACCAGGCTCTGTGCTAACAGCTCAGAGCCTGGAACCTGCTTGGAGTTCTGTGTCTCCCTCTCTCTTCTACCCCTCCCTCATTTGCATACTCTCTCTCTCTCTCTAAAAATACATGAAAAACATTAAAACAATGCATATAATTAAAACACTTGTCAGAATATCAGAGATATCTTAATAGAATTGAAGTATTTTGTTATTAAATAAGAAAGAATGATGCAGTAAACTAAGAATATGTTTTTATTAAAAGAAATTTTTTTAATGTTTATTTATTTTTGAAGGAGATAGAGACAAAGCATGAGCAGGAGAGAGGCAGAGAGACAGAGAGACACAGAATCCAAAGCAGGCTCCAGGCTCTGAGCTGTCAGCACAGGGCCCAATGAGGGCCTCGAACCCGCAAACTGTGAGATCATGACTTGAGCTGAAGTCATATGCTTAACTGACTGAGCCACCCAGGTGCCCTGTAAGTTTTTAATACAACAAAATAAGTGGAAGAAATAATAAACACAAAAGTAAATGTAAATGAATTAATGAATCAGAGAAACAATAAAATGTTTTCAGGCACTGTTGTACTCTGAAACTTACAAACTATTGTTGAAAGAAATTAAAGCAGACCTCAGTCTCCAGTAAATGGAAAGATATCCTATGTTCATGGATCCAAAGACTTACTATTATTAAAATGACAATACTACCCAAATTGATCTACAGTTTCAGTACAATACCTGTCAAAATCACAGCTAATTTTTTTTTCCAGAAACTGACAAGGTAATGCTGAAGTTTATATCAAAAGCAGCACCTGGGTGGCTCAACTGGTTGAGCGTCTGACGTCGGCTCAGGACATGATCTTGCAGCTAATGAGTTCGAGCCCTACATTGGGCTGCTGTCAGTGGTGGAGCCCACTTCACATCCTCTCTCTCTCCCTCTCTGCCCCTTTCTCTCTTGCACTCTCTTACAAATAAATAAACATTAAAAAAAATAAAGTTTATATGGAAAAGCAAGGGACTCAATATTAAAACAAGTTTGAAAAAGAACAAATTAAAGGACTCAAAGTTTCTAATTTCAAAACCACAGTAATCAAGACTGTTTATTGGGATAAAGACAGACATGTAGATAAATGGGATAGGGGCACCTGGGTGGCTCAGTCGGTTAAGCCTCCTACTTTTGGTCAGGTCATGATCTCATGGTTCGTTGGTTCGAGTCCCACATTGGGCTCTGTGTTGACAGCTCAGAGCCTGGAGCCTGTTTCAGATTCTGTGTCTCCCACTCTCTTTCTCTGCTCCTCCCCCATTCATGCTCTGTCTCTCTCAAAAATAAATAAACATTTAAAAAGATTAAAAACAAAGAAGTGCAAATCAGGAAACTAACCCAGATGGATCATTACCATCCAACCTAGTTTACCGCTGGTGCCAACAACTATCTTACTTTTTCACTGTACTTTTATTTTTATTTTTTAAATGTTTTATTTATTTCTGAGAGTGAGAGAGACAGAGCATGAGCAGGGGAGGGTCAGAGAGAGATGGAGACACAGAATTCGAAACAGGTTCCAGGCTCTGAGCTGTCAGCATAGAGCTCATGAACCAGGAGATCATGACCTGAGCAGAAGTCCGTGGCTTAACCCATGGAGCCACCCAGGTGCCCCCCAAAACTTCTTAAATGTTCAAAAATTATACAACATAAACCAATAAAATAAAAATTAGTTCATTTAACAAATACCCCTGCTGTACCCATGGATGTAGATATTCTCAGGTCTCCCACTGGAAGAGGAAGATGCCTCACTCCACAGCCCACCCAAAATACACAAAAAAGTACAGAAAAAGTTCAGATCCTGAAAAGGACTCGATTTCGCCCAGATTTGGAAGTCCCGCAAAATTTTGCATCTTCAAGACTAAACTAGGGAAATCCTGGCTCCAGCGACTGCCGGCGTTGCAACTTCGACAAAGGCCACAAGGAGGCGACGTGTCTTAAACCTCGCAGGGATCCCGGCCGGAAACTACCGGCAAATTCCTCCGGGGGCACGGCTGGCGACTTTCCTGAGACCCCGACCAGAGGCTCACCCACAGTGGGGGACCCAGCCAGCGCGCCGGGGCTCCATCTCACAATAGCGGACACAGCCATTGCCGGGTGTCGCGCCCGCCGAGTCACGACTTCCCTCCATCCATAGCCATTAAGTGACAGTAGACATCTCTTTCTCCCGGAAAATCTCTGCCTGGCGGTGGCGGGTGACTAGGCGTCTGCGTGTGAGCGCCCACTACCCCAACCTCTAGTGGTCACACCGCAGGGCCAGGGCCTGGGGCCGTCTGTGACACAGGTGGAAGACGAGTGGGATTGGGGCTCGTGAGCACAGCAGGGATCAGAGCCCAGGACGTCGGGTCCCCACTCAAAGCCCCCGCGCTCCACCGCGAGGGGCCCTTCAGTGCGCGTCTGCCCCGGGGCGCATAGGCGGGGGCCTGTCCCTACTCCCCCAGAGCCGGAAGGCCGGCGACGCCCCATCGGTTGCCCGGCCCCACCCCGCGCCAGCCTGCTCCTGTTACCCACGGCGGGAGAGAGGAGGTAGAGGTGAGACCCGAGGGGCAGCAGTGCAGGGAGCCCGCACAGGTCCCAGACACCGAAGCTACCACTTTGAGGTCTCCAGGGACCAGACGTGCGGGACTCATTAGCCCGTTTGCAGATGCGCCGACTTGGAGCTCCGATTAGCCGCACAGGGGGCACCAAGGGGACGTTGAGCCGGATCCACACCCTCATCAGCTCACCCCAGCGCACCGCCACCCGGCCGCTCCGCAAAGTGCGGCAGGAAGACGAGCCGACGCTCACCCCCTACCGGATCGTGACCCAGCCACACATTGTCCTCCGAGAGCGGGGGGTCACCACGTCATTCTTGCGCCCTCTGAACGTGCTCTCCGCGTCCAGACGAAAGACACACGGGCACAGACGGGGCGCACACACGTGCGCTGAAACTTTTATTTTCCGCCCGCGCCCCGGACCCGCCCCGCCCGCCCCCTGGGCGGCTCAGAAGATCTTCACCGACTGCAGCTGCAGGTCCCCGCCCACCTCCAGGAGGCGCACGCGCGCCGGCGGGATCCGGTAGCGGAAGTGGTGGTACTCCGAGTCGCCGACCACCGCCTGCGGGGTCGAGGGGGTCGGGGCGTGAGGGGCCCCGGCCGCCGGCGGGGGTCCTTCCCGCCCCAGACCGCGCGCTGTGACCTGGGCGCGCTCATCACGCGGGGCCCTGAGTTCCCCGGGGACACCTGATTGTTCTCCCCTCCTGTCGTGATGCTGACACGGGCTACCTGTCTGGCACAGACGCGCGTTGAAGGCGGCGGCTGGGATCACCCGGCCGGCGGCGTCCACTGCCTCCCTCCTGCCGCTCGCGTGGGACGTGGTGAACGGCCTGGGTGCTGGACGCTGCGCAGCCACCCCTCCCCGCGGGCGCGGGTGCCTGGCCCTGGCTCCCACCCATCCTTGCCCCTGCTCCAGGACGCCAGGGCCCCGCCTCCCCGCTAGGGAACACCACCCCCTGGGCACGTGGCTCTTGCTGCCTGATCCCTGCCTCGGCCACACCCCTGCCTTCTGACACGAGTAGGGTTGTGCCAGGGGAAGAAAACGACGGAGGAAACGTCTGCCCAGCCTTGGGCAGCCCTTGGCTCCCACCTCCACCAAGAGCCTTCCTGGCTGCCTCTACTGCAGGAGGGGCCTGGGTCTGGGCGCCCGGCCTGTGGGCGACAGGGACGCACCTTGAACCCGTCTTCCGTGGCGATGAGGAGCACCTCGAAGGGCTGCCCGTGCTGGAAGGGAAGGCCCGAGCCGCGCTCCTCTCGGCCCCAGGTGCCCTGCTCCAGGCTGTTGAAGACCACCGTGGACTCGTCCAGCCGCGGGTTGAAATGCAGGGCGGCCTCCCCACTGGGCCCCTCGCCGCACAGCAGGTTCACATAGAACCTGGGGGTGGGGTGGGGGTGGGGGCATGGATACGTGTCACTGGCCTGACAACCCCGACCTCCATCAAGGACCAATGTGCAGGACTCCCCGTTGCCAGCCTGTTCAGATTTACGGGGACCAGGGAACGTCCCACACCACAGAAGGAAGGGTTGTGGACTGCGGGCCAGGGCCCCCTTCCAAGGCTTCCCTAAACCGTAGGGACCCAGGCCCCACCCACATCCCCCTAGCCAGGGCCACTGTGCTATAGCCTGGACCCCGGGCCTTTCCAAAGGCTCTAACGTTTGGCACGGAGCCACGACGCTGCTGGCCAGGGTGGCCACTGTTCCGAGGGTGACGCATAGCCCCACGGACCCCAGGCCTGCAGGCACCGCAGAGTCCCAGTGCGCCTGCGGCCCCCAGAGCAGGAAGTCGGCCACCGACTGCCTCAGTGTCCCAGGGTCCCCGGGCACCCCCAGATCACAGGGCCGCTTCCCAGAGGTCTTGAGGATTCAGACGGGGAGTCCGAGGACTAGACACAGGAACCCTGAGATGGCCTCAGAGCCCCAGATTCTTAGGGAGACGTAGGGACCCCAGCGACACAGTCCTGGTGCAGGTAAGTGAAGACCTCACACTCCAGGAGGTCAGCAGTGGCCCGGGGACTGTAGACCCTGTGGGCCCGGGGGGCTGTGGCGCCCTGGTGTCTGGGCTGTAAGAAGTGTGAGCCAGCTGAGCCTGGAGCACCCCCCCCCTTCCCACTGGGGCCCGGGGTCTCACCTGCCAGCCTTTTCCGGGACGACACCACGGATCCTCATCACGGTGCCCACTCGGATGCCCTCGGGCAGCGACGTCTTGTGGGGCACATTCTGCAGGCCGGGCGGTGGGGAGGCCAAGGGAGCCAGGGGCGCGGAGGAGAGAGACACGTGGGTCAGCCCCGCGGAGAAAGCATCCAGGACCCAGATCAGCAGAATCAGGGTGAAGAAACGACGCAGAGACCCAGGCGAGAAGCCAGAGCCGGACAGAGGGTTGGAGAGGGAACCACGAAGGAGCAACGGAAAGAGAGAATCCAGGAGGCAGACGTGAGCACTGGCAAGGGCTGGGTCCACCCAGGAGCCACGGCCCAGACACTTGGTGGCCCACCCTAGCACCCACTTTCTCCTTTCCAGCGGGAGACCCAGCCAGGCCCAGCCCCTCCCCGAGTCCGGTGCAGCCTTGGGTGGAAGCCCCCCAGGCTCCCGGCCCCCGAGGGACTCACAGAGCTTCCCGCCATGGCTGGGACGGTGGGCGGCACTGCTGGTGGTGGGTATGGCCGCTGGGACCTTAAGTAGAAGCGGGGCGTGGCGGGCCCCCGTGACTCACCCCCAGCCGTTTCCACACCCACCGCCCACAGCTGGCACAGACCCTGGCCCTGGGGCCACCTGGCCCGGCGCCTCCTTTCTGGGGCCCGGGACTTCCCTCCACTCGCTGAGGGCTCCCAGTCCACCGCGCCTCTCCGTTGAGCTAAGAATCCTGCAGACAGTTAACCAGGAAATACCAGTGACACGGGGGCCCCAGGGCGCCACCGTCCATCCCGGCCTATGTGCCTGCTGCTTGACACAGAGGAAAGGGTGTTTTGCCCATTTTGTCTTGGAAAGCTTGGGGCCCGAGAGGCCAAGCCGGGGCGGGAAGGGGGTGGGGGGCCCCCGGCCTAGGGCTAAGGAAGCCTCCACGGAAATTCCCGCTCCCGCTCCCTCGTGTAATAGCGACCCCGGCAAGGACCACAGCTGCACCCACGGGGGCTCCGGGGCAGGACGTCTGCCTGATGGGCAGCGTGTCCCGGGGCCTAGAGCAGTGGCTGGTACACAGTCAGCGCTCCTTAAGTGCGGTGGAAAGGCCAATAAGAATCCCAGGAGCCGCCATGTCTGGGCCTCTGGGCGCCTGGCGCACACGGGACCTCACTGAGCGCTCACCCCAAGCCCAGCAGAGAGGGAATCACTCACCCCCACTTCACAGACAAGGAAACCGAGGCTCAGACCCTGGAGGCCATTTGCCCCAAGGCCCACGGCTGGGCAATGCCTTGCTGGGCGAGTGTGTCTCTGCCTTTCTCCGCCTCTGGCGGTTTCTGTCTTGTTTATCTGTCCCTGCGAATGCCCTGGTGTCTCCCCCTGGCTCCCTGGCCCTCTGGCTCCAACCCTCTCTCCCTCCCAGGTGTCCCTGCCTGCTTCCCTTCCTTAAGGCTCTGTCTCCTTCCTCCTCCCAGAATGGCTGCCGCTGTCCCAGCCAGCGTTCAGGTCGGGGGCGGCAGTGGAGGGCTGTCCCGGGACCCACCTGCACCCAGACCCACGAGCGGCAACGTGGGGTCGTCCTCCCCCAGGCCCACAGCCCACGATTCCTCAGCCCAAGATTCCAGAAGAGGACTCCAGGGTGGGAAGGGTGGGGTCAGAGGGACAAGGCTGAAAGAAGGTTCTGGAAGGTAGGGAAGAGGCAGGGTGGGGCAGCTGAGCAGAAGCCCCTCCTAGCAGCCCAGCAGGCCTCCTGCCCACCTCCACCACCCCTTCCCAGCCCCCACTCCCGGTCCCCCGCCCCAGGGGGAAGAGGCCCGGGACAGAGACCAGAATGGAAACTCTGGGTGGAGACAACCAGACTCAGAACCTGATCTGCCACCTGACTGTCCCCCAGGCTCCCAGACTCTCTCCATCCCCACCGCACGTGGGTGGTGGCAGGTGGTGGCGCAGTATGGGGGCCGGGACCTCAGACAGGGAGGCCCGATGCTGCACAGCGGGGGTGGCTGCAAGCACCCCGACTTTCAGAGGAGACCACGGAGGCATGGAGTGGGGCAGCCTCTCAGCCAAGGTCACACAGCAGGGGAGCAGCAGAGGCTGTTGGAGGCCCAGGTGTGGGCCAGGCCAGGTCATCAGGACCTCCTTCTGGTAGAGGGGATGGGGGCCCGCGGCTGGAGCACCCACCCGTGGGAGCTGGTGTCCCCGAATGATGGGCTGCACCTCTCTCAGGCTCGGGGTGTCCGCCTTGCCTGCCTGCCCCCCTCCGTGCTGCTGGATCCCAACGACTCATCCTTCTCCTGGTGTCTTCCCTGGGGCTGGATGTGTCTGCACACGCTGCCCGCCTGCAAGTCCAAACTTGACTTTGTGTGGGTCCACATGTTAGCATTGGATCTGTTATCGGGTTGATTGCTGGCTCGTTTCTCAGAACTCAGATCCGCGCGTCCGTGACGGTCCCTCACTCTCTTGTGAGGATTATCTCTCCATCAGCTCTGGAATATTACTGTCGGGAGCATTTTCTTCATTCCCAGTGAGTGGTGAACGCGCTTAGTCCCCACGCCCCTCGCTTTTTCCCGAGCTATAGCTGGCAGTCCTAAACGTGCAGGCTGTAACAGAATGATGATGAGTTTGGAGAGACGGATGGACCTGAGCAACTCCCACTCCCACCAGGTTTCCCTGGGCCCCCGAGCCAGCCAGCCCCCCTCCACCTGCCCAGGGAACCCATGCCGTTCCGGGCATTTCGTGGCCGCAGCGTCATTTGTCATGAGAGTGAAGGAGCGGAGTGGCCAGAGGGCTGGGTTGGCTGACCTTCGCCCGCCTGCAGGACATCACTCCTGTGAATGAAGAGGACCCACCGTGGTGGGGGCTTTGAAAACCCCGGGTCTGCCAGTGTCCGCTTGCTGGGGACTTCGGCTGTTTTTGTGCACAGGGAACATCATTCAGGGGCTGCTTTGGCTTTATTTTGTTTGGTGGGGAGGTTTTCTTTTTAAATAATCTCTATACCCAACGTGGGGCTTGAACTCACAGCCTGGAGATCCAGAGCCCCAAGCTTCACTGAGCCAGCCAGGGTCCCCCTGGGGCTGCTCTGCTGTTATAAATGAACATGCAAAGGAGGAGAAAGACACTGTTAAAATCTGACTGTTTCTTGAGCTGTGAATCCACGGGGACACCTTACAGTTCTATTTCTGGATAGAATACATTCCCCACCCCCAGCACTGCAGACGGGAAGCGTTTTCTGTCATTTTGCTTCCGTGGATGAACCGAGTTCATTAAACTCTCTTAAATATTTTAAGTTGTCTCTGGGATTTTACCATTTTTTATAATTTATTTATTTATTTTGAGAGGTAGAGAAAGGGAGGGGCAGAGAGACAGGGAGACGGAGAATCCCAAGCAGGCTCCTCACTGTCATCGCCGAGCCCGATGAGTGGCTGGAACCCCTGAACCATGAGATCACGACCTGAGCCAAGATCCAGAGTTGGATGCATAACCCACTGAGCGAGCCAGGCGCCTCCACCCTGTATTAAATTTGAAGTGTTTCCTTTGACCACTCAGTTCATCCAAGTCATAAGAGGTCGCTGTCCATTTCCACGCCTGAGTTGGAAACCCAGTGAGGTGTTCTTGTATTCCTCTTCCATCTTTCCTTCTTTCCTCCCCTTTGTCCCTCCACCTCCCCTCCCCTCCCTTCACCTCCTCGCCCCTCCCCTTCCTTCCCTTTGCTGTAGGATTGGGTCCTACAGCCATGGGGGGGGGGGGGCAGGTGCTGCCTCTTGAGTGTTGGGGAGGGGAGGGATGGAACAGGATAGTAGTGCGCCTAGGGGACGCTGTTGCTTCGTGTCAGAGGGAGTGAGTAGGGAGTGTGTTCAGAAAAGGGTGGTCCTCAGGACCTGGGGTGGGGGTGAGGGGAGAAGGGCAGGGGAGCGTGAGAACCCAGCCCCTGCAGGGCTGTCTGTGCTGAGGAGCTAAGGGTCCCTGCGGAGTGACTGCAATGTGGGTGTCAACCATGCAAGGCGAGTCTCTTCTGTCACACACAGAGGGAGAGTTCTAGTGTGGAAAGAAAATGACCATGAACCTGACTGGAGGTGTGTGTCCGAAGTAATGGTTTTTTCATGAGGGGTTTTTTGCGGGGGAGGGGGGGGTTGTGTCTCCTTAAACTTTTTTTTTATTATGTTAAAATATAAAAATATGGGTGACTCAGTCACTTGAGCGTCTGACGCTTGATTTAGGCTCAGGTTGTGATCCAGGGTCATGGGATTGAGCCTCAGTGCTGAGCATGGAGCCTGCTTGAGAAGCTCTCTGTCTGTCCCTCTGCCCCTCTTCCCTGCTTCTGGGCTCTCTCTAAAATACATGAAATGAAATGAAATGAAATGAAATGAAATAAATGAATGCAGTGTTTAAATGGGATGTCTCTCTTGATCAGAGGGGGTCCCCAAATGTGGGGCAAGGATCAGGTGGAAGCCAGTGGCATGGAGGTGAGAGCCAGTGTTCCCCTGAGGCAGAACAAAGGAGAGAGAAGGTTACTGAATACGTCCCAAGGGAATAGCAGGTCAGGACTGTAGAGAGGAGGCTGTCTTCAAGGAGGTAGTAGGTGGAGCTGTGGTTAAAGCAAGAAGATGAAGCGAGGTGGTATGGGGGACATTGGGGGACATGTGGAATTTTCTTTTTTTTTGTAATTTAAAACATTTTTTATTTTATTTTTTTAATTTTGTAATGTCTTTATTTTATTTTGAGAGACAGAGAGTGAGCAGGGGAGGGGCAGAGAGAGAGAGGGAGATACAGAATCCAAAGCAGGCTCCAGGCTCTGAGCTGTCAGCACAGAGCCTGATATGAGGCTCGAACCCACGAACTGTGAGATCATGACCTGAGCCAAAGTCGGTCGGACGCTTAACTGGCTGAGCCACCCAGGTGCCTCATTTAAAACATTTTTTAAATGTTTATTTTTGAGAGAGACAGAGACAAACTGTGAGTGGGGGAGGGGCTGAGAGAGAGACACACACAGCATTGGAAGCAGGCTCCAGGCTCTGAGCTGTCAGCACTGAGCCCAACACAGGGCTCGAACCCACGAACTGTGAGATCATGATCTGAGCCGAAGTCAGATGCTTAACTGACTGAGCCACCCAGGTGCCCTGCTAACTGTTATTTTTTTAATGCTTATTTATTTATTTTGAAAGAGAAAGAGGGAGGGGAAGAGCACACAAGCAGGGGAGGGGCAGAGCGAGAGGGAGACAGAGCATCTCAAGCAGGCTCCACGCTGTCAGCACACACCCAGATGCGGGGCTTGATCCACCGACCGAACAGTGAGATCCTGACCTGATCCCAAACCAAGAGTCGGACACTGAACGGCCTGAGCCCGCCAGGCGCCACCACCACGTTAACCAGTTTTTACCTGTAAGGTTCAGTGGGACAAAGTACATTCACACGGTTGTGTAGCCGTCGCCCCCGTCCACCTCCAGAACTCTCTTCATCTTGCAAGCCTGAAACTGGACCCGCTAATCCTAACCGCCCAGAGCCCTGACCTCTCGGCCCCCTGGCCCCGGCCCCCCAGCCTCCTATTCTGTGTCTCCGTGAATTTGACCAGGGGCCAGGAAGGAATGCAACCCCATGGCGTTTGCCCTTCTGCCACTGGTGAGTGTTCTACGCACAAAGTGACAGAAACATGGATGTGGGGCGCC